TGATTAACTTCCACAATTTTCAGTGGTTATGGTACATGTCATTATGCACAAAAGTTATTAAAATTTATAAATTACTGCAAAAATAAGGGTATAATAATAATAAAAAATCAAATCAAAATTGTACATCATGTCAAACAAAGTACGTCTTCATAAAATTGTTTAAGATTTTTTCAGCTTTTTTTCTTCCTTGGCTGGGGTATTGGATAGGAATTAATTATCGAGGGATTTTTGGGCTCCTTTTCTTTCTACGGGTCTGTTAATTCAGAAAGGTACGGAGCTTTTACAAGAATTACGTCATAATTACGCAATAGTCATAAGCGTTTCTAGGAAAAAAATATTTATAATGGTAATACACCATACTTTCGATAAAATACTGTTGCTACAAAATCTTTAATTAATTCAGTTACTTCCTTAAATATACTTTATACAAAAGAGAATTGATACTTTTTATACTTTTTACATAGTAGGTATTAATATGTTACCTTCATGCGACAAAATTTGAATTTATAATTAGAGACTATAATTTATTTATATAAATATGACCTCAACTAAGTATTTTAAATATTGTTTGGAAATTGTAAGGAGATTTTAGTACACTCTGCTATTTACGTAATAATTTTAGTGTATTTCGTAAAAAATACTTGTTACTCATTGACAAGTAGTAATATTATTAAGGTGTTAATTGCTTACTATAAAATGTATGCAAACCAAAAATGTTTAATGGGGCCCGATATTTCAAAACCTGTTATGTGCCGTTCTTATAATTTTACAGTAGAGAAAAAACTGATTTTAAACAAAATTCTTGTCTACTTCTTTTTTTTTATTTAGTTACACTCTTTAACAATCAAAACACAAATAATGTTCTAAGCTAATTTTCTGGCTGCAGAGCAAAGGGCTCCTATTGGCTTGGTAAGGTCTTCTCCAGTGACTTGGCAGTATGTCCTATTAGAGAATGAAGTAAGGGATTACTGTGTGATTCCAATCCTTCATGGTGCTTCGTGCTATATTTAGTGATCACATCCTGTATGAACAGGATTCTTAGGTCTTCATGAAGCGTTAGGTTTGACACATACCAGGGTGCATCGGTTATCATTCGCAGTATTTTCGATGCGCTTATTTGAATTATAGTTGCATTTGACTTGCTCGCACCACATCACCAGAGTTGGATTCCATACGTCTAGATAGGTTTTATGATAGTCAAGGATTTTATTTTCTAGGGTCAGTTTCGATTTCCTACCGACTAGCCAGTTTAGATCTTTCATTCTTAGGTTAATTTGTTTCCGCTTCTTAAGAATATGTTCTTTCTAATTGAGTTTTGAATCAAGATGTATTCCTAGGTATATGGTGCTAGAGGATTGAGGAAGTTGGATATTGTTAAGTACTTACTTACTTTATCGTGTCCGGACATGTCATTCATAAAATTTCGGCCCATTATCGGGCTACGTCGGTTCCATCTTTGTTGGCGAGCCACAAATCTTCAAGGGTACATCGATGAGGACAGTTTCTGCATGTAAGAAGATGTTCCATATTCTGTGTTTCTCCCCAGTCACAGTTCACATCATCTTGGTCTATTTTTCCCCATTTTGCCGTGTTTGATTTTACTGTAGCAATCCCCGTTCTTATCCTATTCAAGGTTTTCCACGTTTTAAAGTCTAGGGTCTGGCCGGTCCATTGAACCTGGGAAGTGGAAAATAGTCAGGCGGTTCATCCTGCACTGTTCCAAGGAAGCTTTTCCTAGATTTTAGTCGCTTTCGTGGTGTTCGAGCTTTGTATAGGGCATGCCGATCGTTCGCGATCTGTTTAATTTTCTCTATGTGTTCCGCAGCGCCTCTGCGTGTTGAGGATTCTGCAAAACCCGCTGCTCTATATAGATTTGAAAGTGGCGTTGGTTTCATGCACCCCGTTACTATCCTGTATGTCTCATTTAGCGCAGTATCAACTTGTTTGGTGTGGGCAGATCTGCTCCAAACGGGGCACGCATATTCAGCAGTTAAGAAACACAGTGCCTGTGCCATTGTTCTTAAAACGCCAGAACGTGCTCCCCATTTACTTCCCGATAGCTATCTGAGTATGATGTTTCTAGTTGTTACTTTCCCTCTTGTTTTTAAGCAATGTTGTCTGTAGGTGAGGGACCGGTCCAGGGATACTCCAAGATATATAGGTTTCTTTGTGTGTTCTAATGTATTACCATTCCACACAATTTGGAGTTTTCGCTTGGCTTCCTTTGTGCGAAGGTGGAAAGCGCAGACTTGGGTTTTAGAGGGATTGGGTCTCAGAGAATTCTGCAGGTAGTACGCTGTCATTATTTTTAAGGCAGTTTTGAGTTTCTCCTCCACTTCTTCAAAACTATTTCCTTGAGCACATATTGTAAGATCGTCAGCATAGAGGAAGTGCTTGGTTTCGGTCGGAGTAGGTTGGTTGTTTGTGCATATATTGAAGAGCATTGGTGCTAAAACAATTCCCTGTGGGAGGCCGTTTTTTGAACTCTCCACCTACTTACTTTACCCTCCAACATAACGAAAAAACGTCTATTTTGCAGTAAGGAATATACGACCTTTCTCAGATGGTGGTCATTGAGAATGTCGTATAATTTGCGGAGCAATGTTTTGTGCATTACTGTGTCATAGGCTGCTGTCAGATCTACAAAAGCAGCGCCTGTTATTAAGTTTTTCTTTAAAGCCCTCTTCAATGTGTTCTGTTAATGCGAGGACTTGACCGGTGCAAGATTTGCCAGGTCTGAATCCTCTTTGTTGTGGGATGAGGTACTGGTGTTTTTTGGATCCTTTCCTGGTTTTGACATATTGTTAAGTGAAACTATGGGATACTGTTCTCTTCTCAAGGTAAAAGTCGTTTGGACTGATTTTGTTTCATTCATTTAAATTTTCCACTTGTTTGACCACGTCTCGATTTCATTCAGTTGTACCTCTAGAATGTTAGATGCTATAGTTGGATTTTTGTCGACTGCAAGGACGACAGCATCATCTGCAAACGTACCAGTGATGGTTTTATTATTGGAGGGTAGGTCTGCTGTGTGGCACTTATTGGTCCACGAACGCTGCCCTGCGGGACACACACCAGGTTTTATAGGAATTATTGGAATTACTTTCATTCACTCTTGTTCGGAATTCTCTTTTACTTAGATGGGATTTTAAAAGTTTTAGCTAGGTGATGGGAAGATATTTCTCGATTTTGAAAATCAGGCGTGTGTGTCAATCTTCGGCAATCTAAACGCCCTTCGATGCAAACTGAAATCATTCTTTTAGGATAAATAAATTTTTTATGTATAGCTCCAACAATGGTGGTTTTAAGGGTTGAAGTATTATGATATTATATCCTAAAACATAAAGCAATCATTATTTAATTAACAAAAACCAAATGTTGACCATGTTAAAGTTTAAAATGTTATTTTATAATTTTTACAATTAGGGGTAATTTTCTTAGAGAGATATTTTATTCTTATTGTACAAATGTATATTACTATAGGAGTAAACACTCGTTCATAATTATTTAGTTAGGTGCTGGTATTATTTTTAATATGAAAATAAGTTATATGTATATTTATCAATTAATATAAATATTGTGTGTGTGTATGCAATCAAACATTTTAAAAGAGGCAGACCTGGATGACACAGACCTCAGAATAATTTCAGAACTCTTGAATCAGACCGCAGACATGAAAATTAACGGAGAAGAAACAGATACGTGGAGTTAGACAGGGATGTATCCTATCGCCGTTGATATTTGATATGTTGTACTCAGAGACAATTTTTAACGAGGCTCTTTACGGAATAGACGAAGGCATCCTTCTAAATGGTGAAAGAGTAAACAATGTTAGATATGCCGACGACACCATGGTGATAACAGATAGTTTAAAGGGACTTCAGAGGCTAATGGACAGAATAAACGAGTACAGTCAACAGTACGGACTAAACATTAATACCCACAAAACGAAACAAATGGTTATCAGCAAGGAGAATATAAACGGGGCTCATATATACATTAATGGGGCGCAGATAGAGCGAGTAAAACAGTATTGCTACTTGGGAACTATTATAAACGAACAGTGGAGCAATGTACAGGAAATAAAGTGCCACATAGGAAAGGCAAGAACGGCCTTTAACAAAATGAGCACCATCTTCAAAAGTCACAACATATCCCTAGATACAAAAATGAGACATTTGAGATGCTATGTTTTCTCTGGACGCTTCATGGACACTTACAGACACCACTATTAAAAAACTTGAAGCATTTGAGATGTGGCTTTATAGAAGAATGATGAGAATATCATGGACAGCAAGAATCACGAACAAGGAAATTCTAGGAAAAATGAAGAAGGAACCAGAGATTGTGTTTACGATCAAACGCATAAAATTGCAATATTTGGGACACCAAATTTTGTTATGAGAAATCAGCACCGTTACTCCTTGCTGCAGTCTATATTGCAAGGTAAAGTCAAAGGTAAGCGAGGACCTGGTAGAAGGAGAATATCATGGCTGCGGAATTTAAGAACATGGTTTAAGAAAACTTCAACGGAGCTGTTTCGAGCCGCAGCGAGCAAGGTTATGATTGCCAATATGATTTCCAACATCCGAAACGGATAGAAACCAGAAGAAGAAGAAGAAGAATGCAATCAAATTACGGTACCTGTGATGTTGATCTAACACACCTGCTTCTTCCACCGTAAACTGGGGGGACTCAAGGGCAGAATCTTCTTAAAGTTGCGTAGTTGAGTTTTACACACAAATACTGAAGTATTTAGCGCGCTGATTTATACAAGACTGTCTGAAGTTGAGGCTTGAGGTGCGTGTACTATAGTAGCTTCGCCTTCTCTTAAGTCTAGTAGGGGTAGACTGTCCAGGGCCGTATTAATTTGCGATTGTAAGACATACACACACGTTAATTAAAGAATTAAATATAAAAATAAAATAATAAAAAAATTATTAATAAAAATTAAGAATATCTGTGAAGGGACGTAACACTTATAATGCAATATTTTTTAGTTGTGGACTTCTTCAATCGTATTAATCTCATCTATGGCACCATATGTGAGTTTTGTACCGAACAGACCTGTCCAACGATGTCAGGGGGGCCCAGATTCGAGTATCTCTGGGCCGACGGCGATAAGTTTAAAAAGCCAACACCGCTGCCTGCCAAAGAGTACATCAGTTATCTCATGGACTGGATTGAAATTCAGATAAATAATCAAGATGTGTTTCCCTGCACCAGTGATAGACCTTTTCCAAAGAACTTCACGTCTGTATGTAGTAAGATTTTGGCAAGACTGCATAGGGTGTTTGTACATGTGTATATACATCATTTTCAAAATGTTGTTACAATTGCAGCAGTAAGTATTACTAGTCAATAATAATATAGTTGAAGAAAGCTCTAGAATGTATGTGCAAATTCAAAAAAATATGGAAAACAATTATTTTATTGATTTATTTGAATTCCAAGTAACCGCAACAACTGCTTAGGTTGTTCGCAGTAACGGTACCTAGGGTCATTACCGACGGATCCGACAAAACTGAGCATTTTTAATTTCATAAATATTCATATCCGGACGAATTAGAATCTTGTTCTTATTGGGTACCTTTGTACCCAACCCTACCCTTTTACCTTTTACCAGTGTGAAGTATTCTATTAAAATACTAGAGTAGCGTATAGTATCGTCGGTGATACAGATCAGTTCAACCACGTAGTTCCGCCACAAATTATTATTTTCGTAGATAACTTTATTCTTCTCTTCTTGGACTCTTGGGCTATCTCTGTTCAGTATCCGTGGATTATTATCGCTGAGATCGAAGCAATGTCCATTCATCCAATTGAGCCTCGTTCGTATGTAAATTAAAAGATGTTTCATTCAAATTTGAAGGTGTCTCTTTCAAAACGTTCTTTCATTCTTCAGATTTTTGTATATTCTGGCAATTATTTTGAATGTAGGAAAGGTCAAAATTAAACTCTATATTTGAACTTTCTGTGCCTATAAACATTTTTCTCCATTGACCAACCCTTTATTTAGACCTTTGCTATAAAATTTGTGCTATCAATCATTTTCAAATGTACTAGGGGGGTCGGCAAGTAATTTTATGTGGGGTCCGGTTACTAGAAGAAAATTTGAACAAGGTCCAGATAAAAAAAACAAGAGATAACATTTAATGACAAGATGTTTATTATTTTGGTACATTTTTAATAATAAAACAAAAGACCTTAAATTAATGCGAAAAATTGCACCGACGGTTTTGAACTACATAGTTGTTTGTGGTCTGGTTCTTGAGTCAAACAACAAATTCGAAGTGTATCCTCGAGGTGAGCGTCCGTTAATCGAGAGCGATATTTGTTTTTCAAAAAATTCATTTTTGAGATAGATGTTTTGCACATATACGTTGAGCCAAACATAGTGGACAAATCTTCTTGTAATGCAATAATCTCTATTTGAAGTAATGCTTTTGACAGAATAAACAGCTTAGCAGCCACATCTGCCCATCCTGCCGCTGCATCAACTTGAAATTGTGATTTTGGAAATGAAGATAGTTTGCTTACCTGTGCAAAGTCTTGGAATCTTGAAGCAAATTCGTTCCTAAGATCTCCCAGAAATTTTACGAACACTGCAATGTCTTCTTGGGAGTACTCATTATTTTTATTATATTCAAGAATAGTTGGAAAATAAATGAATTCTTGTTGTGCAATATCTTTTTCAAAGATATCCAGTTTACTACTATAGTTTATTTTTATGAACGAGAGAGTAATTAGCATAATTTTAACTGGTACTTCCGACCACTCCATGGGCGTGCTCAAGATTAATTGAGAAATTACTTTGAATAATTGTAAAAAATAAATGAATTATTTCAGTGTTATAAAGTGTTATGTGTATGTAAACAAAAGTGACCTCTTTTATCACACACTATATTAGAACTGACTGGCCTACATTAAAAAGAGTTTTAAAAAATTCACATTTTTTTTTTAATTTTTAAAAATTACAAAAGAGAAAAAGAGTTTTTAAAACCGTCTAAGGTATGTTAAATAGATGAATAAAAATATTAATATAAAACTTACAGCTACTTGTTACAAATCCAAATCAGATTCAGAAGATGAACTTTCACAACCAAGATTTATAATAACTGGCTCGATCATTTTATCAGTAATATTGTCCAGCTTCCACATTTTTTCCTCTTCTTTAATAGTGTGATTTACTGCCTTTTCCCAGTTTTCAGGTTTTACATTATTTACGGCCTCCAAAAACAACTGTTTAACATCATGAATTTTAAAAGTGGTATTTTTTCTTGAAACTTCACTCTTTATCTGTGCCCATACCAGTTCAATAGAGTTTAATTCACAATGATATGGTGGGGATCTAAGTACTGTCATTCCACGATTTTTGGCAATTTCATCAATTTCGTATTTTTTAAATTTTTCTTTATGAAGGACACACAACGAATAAAGTTCCTTTCTTATAGATCCGGGATGGTACGTAATATTTTTTGAACTCAGCCAATTCTGCAAGTCTTTTTTTAACCACTTGGTTGTGGGCAGTCCTTCTATAAGTCTGGAGTGATAACTTGCATTATCCATTACTATTACACAGTTCTTAGGAAGAAGATCTATCATTCTTGAAAGACATCAGCGTTCATGTCTTCATGGTAGTCACCGGTACGAGTTGATTCAAAAGTTAATAAACCACCTTCAACAAAACCGTCTGAACTGCCAATGTGTACTATTATCAGCCTGCGTCCCTTTCCTGATGGTGGGTTTAAACCAGTAGATAAGTTATTTACAAAAGTGTGCCTTTGACTTGTAACAGTTTCATCCTGCCAAAATTTATTTGGTGTATGACCCTCGTTGATCCATGTTTCATCAAGATAAAATATTTTTTTCTTTTTGGTTTCTCATTTCCTTTATGGTTCTTAGAAAATGTCTTCTCCAGATGACAATATCGCTTCTTTCTAATAAAATAGACTTTCTGGGATTCTTTTTCCAGCGGAAGACTATTTCTTTTAAAAGTTTCCATAACGTACTTCGACTCATTTCTGGGTAATCCTTATCATCTCGAACTGAGACAAGAACTTTATCCAATGTTGGAAATTCTTGTCTAAAGAAGTATTCATGCACTTTCCGTCGAAGTCCTTCTTTAAAATGATATTCTATTTGAAATTTTGGTTTCCCTGGAGCATTACGTGGCTTTTGAAAACTACCACATTTCTCTTCTTTAATAACTCTGTAAATCGTAGATTTCCCAACACCAAGTGTACTGCTAACTAACTCAACGGTCTCATCAACACTTTCACATAAACGTTTGTCTGTAAATGATTTAAAACAATTAAATATTAATGTTTTTTCATTAACTGTTAAAGGACCAATTTTTCGGCGTTTACACGGCACTTCCAAATTTTCCATAACACTAGTATACACAATAAACTGCACCTTGCAACTGAAGTACCTACTTTTAGTGAACTGTTAAGAATTTTGAATACGCCACTTGGACCTTCCTACAAAATGGAAAAACCCACTATCACATTTTCTGTGGAATAAGTTTAGAAGGTAATTATCTAGTCAATTACTGTCGTAGATTCCTGGAATTAAAGAATTAAATGTTTGATTGTTGAAACCCTTACTTCGTGGAATGCACTCATTTCAGATAAAATAAAACGTTTTATTTTATCTAAAGAATTAAATTTTATTTTGCAAATAAGTAGGTACTTATTAAACTTTTATTGGTTATATATAACCAATAAAATAAACATCTTACATTTCTTGCAAATTCATTAGTACCTGTTAACCTCCATCACTCCGACACTGGCAACCTTATTTAGGGATTAGTAACCCTCACAAGTATTTTTTAAAATTTAAAATTGTTTTCCTATATACTTCTGTAAACTTGTTGACAAATATCTGTTTTTCATTGAGTCACCCGTATCAACAGTTTAGGGATTTGCATACATAATTTATTGTTTTATTACTCTCTCATACATAAAAATACACTATAAAAACAGAGACGCTTTGTATCAGATTACATACTAGTTTTCCATTTCCTTCCATATCCTTCCATATCTTTTAGAAAAGCCACAACTAGCATGTTGCGCTTGTTTGTTATATACTCAAAATGTGCCCTGGCTCCCTGTGTATCTTTATATTGTAAGAAGGAGATCACATGTTCTTTTATTAGTCAGAAACGTTCAATAACTTGACCTTTAATTAACCAACGAGCATTATTGTGTTGTAGTAAGTTAGAATATGCTGAATCACATTCAGAAAGAAACTTCTTGAAATGTCGGTGCTGAAGAGCAGAATAAGATCTTATTAAATTAATTAAGTTCACTAAACTGTCCATGACTTCTTTAAGTCTAGCACTAAGTTTTCCACAAAGGGCTACCTGGTGTATTATGCACTGATATGTTATTAAATTTGAATATTTATCCCTGATCCTCTTTGCCAATCATTGCTGGGACCCCATCAGTAGAAAGCGAAATCATTTTATTATAACTGATGATAGATTTAGAAATTAATTCATCAATAACCTTGAATAAATCTTCTCCTCGGGTGTTACCTTTGAGCGGCAATATTGCTTGCAACTCTTCCCTAAAAATCTGACACTCAATATCAAGAAATCTTACAAAACTGACATTTGTTCATCATCAACAATGTCAAATGATTCGTCAAGTGCTATGGCATAGCAAGGTGCCTTTTGCAAAAGATTAAGAAGAGAGTTTTTAATATCCGCAGCTAAAATTTCCGTTCTTCGTGTATCACTTCGCGCTGACAATGAGATGCTTTGAATTGCTGAGGCAACGTCTTTTTTTTTTTCAAAAAGTGAATTAGCTATTGCCAGCATACATTCCTTCACTATCTCAGAATCAGAAAATGGTTTTTGGTGTTAATATTAAGTATCCAGCACACACTTAACGCTGCCTCTGCGAATATTTCTTGGTCGCTCATGCAGCGAACTAGGATTTTTGTGCCTTTTTCGTAAGAATTAAAATATACCCGAAGTTTTTCTTTACGCGCCTGACTGCCAAGAGGAAAGTTTTTGTGGAACTGCTGATGAGTTGTTTCGTAGTGTCGCTTAAAATTTCCACTTTTAAGTATGGCGACAGTTTTATTGCATATAAGGCACACCGGAACCGCTGGCCGCGTATCAGGCAATGTAAAACAATATTGTTCAGTCCATTCTGTCAGAAACTTCCTATTTTCACTGTCCACTTTTCTCCTTTTCGGATCCATATTAATGTAGGTACAAAAAGATGTTTTATAAAACGAACGAAAACGCGAGTAATCACAAAACAAATTAACGGTAGTACGCTACGTGCATGTCACTGGCCAACTAGTGAGCGACTGTCAGTCAGTGGGCAACAGCGTTGCCAGGCCCATAAATTTTATTTCCCCAAATTGTGTTTTAAAAGTTGCCATATTGATATTTCTCATTCATAGTACAAAACGTGTTACCATAATATATTTAGCTTAAATAAAGACAGTTGTCGTTAAATCAGTACTGTGTAAAATTTATTGATCGTAAATAAAAATGTCGCTAAATAATTTGAAAATTGACAAAACGACAGTATTAGAATAGTAGACAGACGGAGCATATTGTTTTTTACTTCTTTTATGAATAAAAACAATAAATGACATGTAATCCATTGCAACATCTCAATTATTGTAACTTCTATTGTTTATGTAAAATAAGTATAATTTTAAATTACCTTTGTTTTAGGAAGCACACGTGAACACATGTTACAAGCATTTCTACTACTTTGTGACGGAATTTGAACTAATTAATAGAAAAGAGCTAGAACCGTTAACAGAAATGGCTCAAAGGATTTGCAAAGATCCTCCAACTTAATGTCATCCAGATAGTGACAATAAGTAAATATTTATTATCTTGACTAATATTAACAATGCTCAAAGATCAATCGGGAATATTAATTATACAACTTTTGTTTCGATGTGATGATGATGATGATGATGTAGAAAAGTATACAAAAACTATTGGGTATTTTTATGAACGTGTTCTTGTATATTTTTTACTGCAGATGTGTTTACGCATGAGCACTAAAGATTCTTTCAGGTTTGTTCGCGTAGCGAAGCTCTGATAACTTTGTGATATACCTACATTGAGGTATAGTTGCATTTTCTTGTATTGCATTCGCTTTGTAAAAACGCATCGCATATGATACAACAACAATTGGGCACCCATTTAGTCAAATCAATAAAATGTCTGCTGTTTTATATACACTGCTCCGCAAAATTAACCGGACACATGAAATTCCACAGTTTTCTCCATTCAGGTTTGTTGATTTGTCTTGTTTAATAATTAATTATATTTATCAAAATATAAGTTGCCTCTATCTATCAGTTTCTTAAAAGTTTGTAATTTTTTGTGGGTGAAAAAAAGTTTTTGTTAAGATACTCCTGATGCCGTACAAAGATTTCTGGAAACTGGTTTTACTCAAGAGGACCTGGAGAGAGAATACTGAACTGTTTTTATTAATCTAATTTATTGTCTTTATTTATTATAAAAATGTTCCAACAGTTTTACAACACTTACAAGTTTATTAAAGTCTTTATTTATACAATACTACACTAATTTATTTTTTACACTATAATTATATAATTTATTTACATTTATTACAATACGCGCGTTACATTTCAAACTCGATACAATTACGTTTTCGGACTACCCGATTTTCAATAAAATGTTCCATTTAAATAACCGTTATTCTCTAAGCGGATGGTGACCTTCATGAACTTCCTCGATCGCCGTGGAACCAGACAGGCTTTTTTTTTATTCGACCCTCTTCTGGAATGTTCTAATGGCAGGTATAATAGGGGACCCGTGGGTCGGAGAATCTAGAAAATATCAGAATGAAAAAGATGTTTACAGTTTAGATATGAGTCATTATTTATCGTAACAATACCAAGGGCAACAAATGCCGTGAAAGATCGATTTCTTAGACTCCAAGTGCTTCGAAAGCACATAATCACTGATACAACTTTGACTAAGAGACTGGCAGGTGTTCATGGTACCATAGTTTCATCTGATGCCGCAAGTAAAAGATTAAGCGAACAAATTTATCATCTTATGATCAACTGCTACGCAGGTACATAAGGTACATCTTTATTGGATGCAGTTCATCGAAGACAAAGCTTGGAATTCTCTCGTTCTCATGCAGATTGAGATATGGAAGATTGGAGAAACGTTATGTTTACATACGAGTTTCATTTTACGAAATATTCATCTGATGGTCGTCAAACAAGGCGAAGAATGCTATGCCTAATGTTGCTTCTCTCCTAGAATGCAGTTTGTTGGTAAAGGTATAATGGTACGTGGCGGTATTTCTTTGGAAGCACATACAGACCTTGTTATTTTAGAGAGAGGTGGCCTTAAAGCTGATAGGTACATTAGGGAACATCCGGAAGAACACGAGGTACCGTATATGGATTTTTAGGTGAACATTTTCTCCTAATACAGGATAATGTTTGGCCTCACACAGCCAGTAACAATGCAATACTTTACAGATGTTAGTATTCGGGTACTAGCATGGCCTCCTTAAAGCCAGACCTTAATCTCATAGAGCATCTGTGGGACAATTTGGGAAGAGTAGTTAGGCAACATTATGGCGAGTTTGAAACTGTGTTAGCCTTAGTTCAGGCGCTGATAAACGAGTGGGAACAGATACCGTGAAACGAGATTGCTGCTTTGATTAAGTTCATATCAGAAATAATGAGAGCTGTTATTCAAGCTCTAGCAGGAAATAGGATAGATTTTACGACTTAGATATCCATATTTAGAATTATTTTATGATTTCGGTTTGAAAAATATCTTACTCCGGAATAAAAAAAATTCGTAAATTTTTGTTATTAAATTAATCAATCCTTTGGAACCTCCTTTTTATTTTATGGTTTATAAAACATACAATGTATATACGTGTATAACATACAATAAAAAAAATATTAGAATTTAAGTTTTTTTGGTACTTTTTAATTTTACTTAAAATAAACTTAGTGTCTGGTTAATTTTGCAGGGGAGTATATTACACCTTTACAAAATTACTTTACTTTTTTTAACATGTGAGTGATTTTTTCAGATAATTACATTGATTACAGATTAAATTCAGAGTTATCTTCGTGAACAATCCTTTAATGGAACATGTTAATTTAAATATTTTATTATAAATATTATATCTTACATATCTAGCTAACGTACATTAACAATCATTGTAAGTCATAATTTTAATGATGGAATAACGATGGAATAATTCAAGTATTACTTGTTCAGATTTTAAAAGATATAGGGCTATAATATTGAGCGCTGTTGTAAAACTAAAAACATCAAGATTTCGCAAGAAATTTCTCTCTTACTTTATAAATACTAATAAAAGCTCACATTTTAACGTGTCACAAATCCCCACGTCGGGCGCCAAAAATTAGTGTAACATACACAGTGAACTGAGCTACTAGGAAGTAGGCTCAGCATACTAATATACTTTGTGTCTCGAAGGCACTGTTGTCCAGTCGTTGCAACTTATGATTACAGTTAAGAGAACAAGTACAAAGAAATATCAATAGTATTAAATAACATCTGTACTGCCTAAACTAAATGTGACGCAAATCTATTGAATATAAAATCTAAATGTGACGTAAATCTATTGAATATTATGTAAGAAATTGTGTCCAATAAAAAAATTTTAAACTCAAATAAAGAGTGTGAAAAATACCTGTTTACTGCATAAATGTTATTCAGCCTCAAATCCAAAGATGGTTTAAAATTATGACTTACAATTATTCTGAGTGTGCGTTTTACCTATTGTATTTTCATGGTAGGAATGGAGTGACATCAAACAGTGGATTGCGAAGTTGTCCAACTTAGAAATCAACATAGAAATTAGATAACAGTATTTGTTACTGTACTATTTTAATCAGAACGCATTTCATTTCATTCTTGACATAAAAATTTGATACCTCGTAAGAAATAATAGTGAAAATGATCATTTTTGTACTTATAAAGATCCTTTATATCAGTGGCGCCCTTATTATATAATTATTTTTTCTAGCTTTATAATTTTCGGTATACATTTTTATAATTTCCTTTACATCTGTCAATTTTTAAAATATTTACAATCCAAGTTTACAAATATCATGCAATAATAGTGTACTTAGGTCTATGTAACACTATTTTTTTAAAAAATAGTTCATTGAGATGATTAGCAGCCTTATTACTTTGCTGTTTGTATGTGTCCTTAATAGCCTCATTTTTGTCGTCTTGTACATATCAGCTTGCAATTCCTAGTAGGCTTAATAAAAAGTTGAATTATTAAAGCTTTACTATATAAAACGTAGTTCAAATTTTATGAAACCGATACACTCTTAGTCTGTCCAATGAGATATTTTCCTAATCAATCCTCCTATATTATTATAGCTTACCTTTTGGTTTCTATTAAAGTATATTTAAGCTTAAAATATGATAATTTCCGGGAGTTGGCTGTATACCATATTAGTTTAAAAATTCGAACATCGAAGTAAGAAACTTCTGTTGTAAGTTGTATATTTATTTAAAAAATAACTTAAAAATCCAATAGAATCATAATGAAGTTTTCGGACTAATCATTTCATCTTCAGTTAACTTTTGGAGTATTTGCAGAACTAATCACAAAACCAAACAGTGATTCATTGAAGAAAACATACTTAAAAGTATTAAATTATACGGCAAAATGCCGATGTAATTGGATTCCTAACCGGGAACATAAGTCCGTACTCGAAATAAAATATTTCAACATTCGAACATTAGAACGGGAGTTTGTTAACTGATTTCCAACAGAGTTGGCAAAATCTCGTTCTAAAGTTTAGATATAAAAATATCTTATTTCGAGTAAGGAATTTGTTCCCAGTTAGTAATCCATTAATCCAATAATAAAATTAATAATTCAAAAGTACTCCAAAAGTTCACTGAAGATGGACTGATTAGTCCGAAAACTTCATTATGATTCTATTGGATTTTTAATTTAATTTTTTAATTAAATATATCACTTACCTCGATGTTAGAGTTTTTAACTTAAATCCTTGTTTACTTTGAATTTACTTAATTTAAAATGAACTGAAATTAAATTTAATTAATTTAAATAATTAACCTATGTCAAATTTAATTAATTTGCCACATTTAAATATTTTAAATTTAAATTACATTAAGTTAAATTTAATGTTTTATTTTCGAAGATTACTGTTAGAGTTAACGTCTATATACTTTTTGTTGTCTATAATTATTTTCAGGGTCCATCATCAAATCACAACATAGATCAAATAATTTTAAGTTTTTTTTAGAATCGGGCATTGTTGTAGTTTTCTGTACCTAAACAAATAAAACCTCGAAATATTATCGGGTAATCCAAATTTTCGCGGATATTATAAAATCCTAATCGTTTTACTTACCTGTGTTTGAAATTTACACTGTGATTTTGTTTTAACTATATAGGTATTCCTCATTATAGATATAGCGATGGACAAAAGTGTGGAAACAAGAAAATATTTAGAATTATTAGATTATGGTATTTTTTCAAAGCGTTATAAATTATTTCATGTACTTTTCTCCACTCTTGCCCATCGCTGCATAAGCATTTGCTGTTGTAAATATATTACTAAAATACGCCAAGAAAATATTTAAACTCTTATAAAAACTTGCCGATAGTTTGTACGTTGTACGCATACGTGCATATGTCACCAAGTTCCCGGGCTGAATCGGAAGAAGATTTTTTAACTTCTTTTCTCAAGTCTTCATCAGGACCTATTCCGGGATTTATCTACCATATTTAACGGGAATTAACGACAACTTTTATTTGCAAATACGTTTGTTTTAATCTTTATTGTAAAATACGTTTATTTTCAATGGAAATTATTAATTCCCGATATATATAGTAGATAACGCAGAAGTTTCACACGAAAATAGTTACAGAACCACTTCACTAATGCAATCACTTGTACTTTACACTACACAGTTTACTTTGTAGTGCAGTGTCTAGTGTAGGTGATGGTAAACTGCGGAATAAGAAGTAGGAGGCACCAAAGTAGGATGAAGATTCCAAGATTCCTAATGAAAAGTATTTGTGTATATACAAAGACTTCTTTTTTCATTAAAATTATAAAATATGGGGTGTTTTATCTACAATTATTGACTTACTCTGGATTGAAGTTTTAAAGAAAATGCGTATCATTTGTGAACACCCTG